TCCCTTTCACCAACACAACCAGTCCTGAAGACTGCCTCTACTTACTACTCCTCTTGTCAGTCCCTTTTCCCTCCAAGCTATTGCAGAGTGCTGAACAAAGAAACAACCAATGTAAGTTTAAATTTCACTCTTACAATCGTATTATAGTTGGTTAATAGTGTTACATGGTGTTGTTTGAGTGTGTAAAGGATTGTTTCGTATTGCATTTACACTAGATAATTATGTTTAGTTTGGCCTAAGGAAGTATCTAAAAGCCAAGATTGTGGGTGAGGTAAGTGATATAAGCTAGGGTAATGACGGCTTGTTGATTCAATCTTTTGTTTACTGCTAGTGTTCTCATGTGTAATGTTTCCTCTGTAATATTTCCTATTATTGATATTTTCACAAAAAAACACCCATCTATCCAATCAGTTTGTTCTCCGAGCCACCCTTACTAAAGTGTTTTTGGTCTCAGTATATGAAAATAAGCACATTATGAATGAGCATTACTTACTCACTATAACATTTTTTTATTTTCACAGTTATTACCTTGAATCTACCACTATTTCATTTGCATATGACTTTTTTACTTTTAAGATGCTGGGCCCTCTGAGATCAATAAAGTATTTAGGTTGACAAGGTCAGTAGCTGACTAATGCATTTGTTACAACTTAATGTTACCCATATGAACTCTCTGGTATAATATAGTTTAATAAAATCTGCAGGCACCATGCAGGGAACATCACTGAGCCCGGCCTTAGATGTGTACATACTTCATTTACTTCCCTGCACTTCCTTTTGAAGTTAGGGATAAGATAATAGAGAGATAACATTTGAATTAGCAAGGTCATTTCCCAGTATAATGTTCTCATTATGGCCAAGATGTCCCCTTTAGTGGAATGTTAATGCACATAATGAAGAAGAATAAAGCATTTGGATGTGCTGCAGCAGGAAAGCAACCCACCAAAGTTACTCAAGGGATGATATGGTTTGTTTTATATAATAGTTTAAGGATTATGATAATGGTAGAGCTGTACACTCATCATACATTGAAATAAGGGCAGAATCATTTATTTATATGCAGTTACAGCATAGATTTCACAAAAGACCACACATCCAAGACAGTCAGCATCATAAGTACTTTCTCTGTTATTGTTGAGAAGGATCTGTGCTGAATTGTGGCCAAACAGCACCACATGGGAACCTGTCAGACACCAGATAAACCACAAACCAAGCAGAGCCTAACCATAGCCTCCCACAGCAAAAACTAAAATCTCTGACGGTCCTGCACTGAGAAACAGCTGACGTCAGCTGTCTCACTAGACTGCCTGCTGAGAGATGGCTCCTTTTCCACTGGAAATAGATGAGAAACAAAGTTGGCATAGATGACGAGTGATAACGAGCAAACATGGGGGAGTATTTGAATGCTGGATTTTAAAATGAGAGAGGAGAAGAAGAAATAGACAGGAAGCACAGAAAGAATAGGGTTATGCTAATTTGAGTGGATGGGGAGATTAAATAGAGTCATATCAGGTCGTGTGCCTTCCAGAGACGGTACCATAATCCCCTTGCTTGCTCCTTGCAGCTCCACTTTACACACATACAGTACAAACAGACACACTCACACACAAATGCATGTCGCTGCACTGTAGATGGTGAAATGGTGCAAGGTATATTTTAGGTGGCAGATGTGGAAATGCAGTCAGACACTTGGAGCTGCAAGGGGAAAGAACATGACTGGAGGTATACTTGGACCAATATAAGTTGTCTTTTCTCTGTGTTATACTTTTTTTGTTAAAAGTCTTGTGTGGAAGTGACAAGACATCAATGTGTTAAGTACTGCCCTTCAAACAGAGTTATATGTGATGTCAAATGTCCAGGGTGTACAAGCTTTAGCATATATGTGTGTGTGCGTGCATGTGTGTGTGTGTGTGTGTGTGTGTGTGTGTAAAAAAGACAGAGAGGGAGTGAGTGGATGGAGGGTGGCGTACCGTAAGTAGAGCGAAAAAAGTTCCCCTGAGCGGTTAATAAAAGATGATGCTGCAAAATGGATACCAGCTAGAGCAAAGGATATGGCTGTTTTTTTTCCTCTTTTATTTGTCTACCATGTGTGCCGTTGTGAAAGATTGATGCTGTCATTGATGTATTTCAGTGGCCAGCAGTTATGAAACTTGCATACATAATATATAAATGACCATGCGGGCATTGAGATCCAATAAAAAACACTAAAACTTTGTGTGGTATCTGCCTGACTGATAGAAATTGCATAAGAGGGACGGAAAATGAACATAAATCCGATCTGGGACATGTGAACACAGACGTAGCACCTTAAAGCATTAGGAAGTTACTGTGTGTAAAGTGCGATAACAAAATCATAAAGGGTATGGATAATAAAATGTGCACTACAATATATGCAGTAAGGTCACACTCTTAATACACAGTTTTAAAGCTGATACTAGCTCTGTCACTGGCACACACAATTACACGAGAAGCCCTTGAGAAGTCCTTATCAGCTTTTTTCATGCATTCATGATAAAATAATATGGTCTTTCATTTGCATAATTACCTGCTTGCACCACAACACAATATTGTTTCAGCGATGGAGAATGGCAGGGGCTTTTTTAGTGCACTGACAAGCTGCTGAAGGCCAGCCATGATTGTGTCAGACAACTGCCACTAAAAAAACTGGGACATGGTGTACAGACCTCCTCTGCCTCTGAGAGAATATCTTGCTCCACAGAAAAAGAAAGATGAGCTCTCATTTTACTTTATGACATTCACATCATAATTAGATTAGATTAGATTAGATTAGATAGATAGATAGATAGATAGATAGATAGATAGATAGATAGATAGATAGATAGATAGATAGATAGATAGATAGATAGATAGATAGATAGATAGATAGACAGATAGATAGATAGATGCTGAAGGATGAATTAACTGGTTTGTTTGAGAATATTATCTAAATATTAATGAAATCCAGCGCTAACGGCAGAATTGTAATGGACATTAATTATCATGCCACAATTGTCCTGTTAACGTCACATATCTGCTTGCGTGAGAAGCAGAAATTATTAGTAGTCAGTGCCACTCCTTAGTTCCAAGTTGTTTCTATACTTAGCCCAGAGTGGTGGGATACGCCGCACATACTGTACACAGGCTGTTAATGCAACACCCAAAACTGAACTGGCTCGATAACAGACGTTCAATGAGTATCCAGAATTAGAAATAGAAATAGAAATAAACATAATTTGGTGGGTATGAAACCATGCAGTTGTTCATGCAGGGAAGGCTGGTAATTAGTGACACACACACACACACACACACACACACAGAGGCAGGCAGAGAGGAGCTGTCCTTGGTGCTGAATCAGCCACCCATGCTTGGCTGCCGGTGCTCTCTGTAGACTGCTGTGTCTGTCTGGTGGCCTGTGGCTCTCAGCCATTGTGTTACCACCCTGACGTTGTTAGCTTGTAATGCTTTACCGTGTACTTTTAACTACTTTTAGATACATTCCAGCACTGGTATCAAAACTTAAAATGTGTTATATTCATGCTTGATTTTGATTGTTTTGTAAGAATTAGGTAGAAGGTTCATATAGGCAGAGAAAGAGAGGCAGCAGGAGCCACGATTTCCTTCTATTGTTTTCTTGCTTGCCAAGGATGAATAAACTAAAACAAGAAAACACATGTAAGGACAATCTTCCCATGTGCAATTCATCATTGGCCTTTTGATTTCCAGTTTGTTTCAAGATTTATTTTGGTTATGCATAAACAGGCTTCACATACATACTTATTTTTCTTACCACATCCTCTAAAATGATCCAGGTGGGTTCCTGCAGTTGTTGCAGTTACACAGGTCTTTGAAAGCAGTAAAAGTTCAAGAGCTTCAGATGTTTGGTAAATGAAAGGACAAACCCAAATAAATTTATTAAAGTAACTATAGGTGTCGAATCAATGTAGAAGAGTGAATAATAATATGTATCTCTGAAATGTAGTGAAGTATATAGTAGCATAAAATGGAAGTAAAGTGACTCAATCTCAAAATTTTGTTTAAGTACAAAGCAGTTCCACCACTGGATGCTTCTATGCCACTAGTGGTGTTAAGCACAAATTGGAGGTACTTTACTTGAGTATTTCCATTTTATGCTACCATATGGGCTACTACTTATCCTCCTTTTTTACTCCACTACAATTATTTGACAACATTAGTTACTGTAGTAATTTTACAGATTCAGATTATTAACACAAACTATGAACTAACTAATGAATTTAGATGTATTATTATGGATTAAACTACCAGGCAGTTGAAATTGGCTCTACCTTTACCAGCTGCAACATTAATGCATCAATAATCATAATCCAGTGATATACATTATCTGAAATGGGCTTTTTCTGTAATAAGTTCATTTAAATGGCAATACTTACTTACTTGAAACTGAGTATTTAACACAGTGGTATTGCAACTTATTGAGAACTTCTTCGAAATAAAGGAACATCATTCAACCTTCCATATTTATTTTTAGCATCCTTTGCACTCTGCACTATTGTCTACTGTTTGTTTATAGATATGTATAACTGCACATATAAGTCTATGTCTTTTTTGTTGAACTTGTTCTGTTTATTTATGCTGTTATTCTGTGGTTGTACATTGAGAGCACCATAAAACCAGAGTTAAACTCCTTGTAAGTGCACACATACCTGGCCAATAAACGTGATTCTGACAGTGACTGGTACACTAAAGACACTTTATGACTATGTTTCACCCATAACTATATTTAGTTGATGACAATCTCATTATATACCGTAAACAATGGCGTTTACTAAGCTGTGTCACCAAAGTTAAATACTGTAGAATTCATGCACGAATCTGGCACCGCCCACTTCCCCGCGCGTCATTACCTCCCAGCCAATCCCGACGCGCTCCACCTGTCCCCCCCTCCCCCAACCTACCTATGGCGTATATTTTGAGAAGCCTGGACCAATCAGATCGCGCGAACGGCGAAATCAAAGTTGTTGTAAGAGCACGTGTATGTGTGTGCGTGTGTGTGTGTGTGTATGTATGTATGTGTGTGCGTGCGTGCGCAGGGGGTGGATAACTGGCCAGTGGATGAGAGAGGAGGCAGCGGAGAGAAGTGGACCTGTACCGGCTGCTGGATATATCTCCTTCCACCGGATAAGTCATTATCGGGTCTTTCTGCTCCGGTTTAAGGTCTTAAAAGAAAGAAACACCGTGTTATCAGCTACTTAAACGCTAAATTCCCTGATGGATGCTGCCGGTGAAAGATGACTTGACAGTTAAAACTCGCTCTACCTCTTTGCATGAGACACCGTAGCGATGTTTAAACCCCTGTGCGCATAGCTCTCTCCCCTCGTTGCTCTGCCACCGTGGACTTACCGATTGCTTTCAGTTTTTGCCGTTGAAGGAGCTGTTGTCTCTGAGACCGAGATGACGGAAATCAGCGAAAAGGAGAACGAACCACAAAACCGGGACCTGCACCGATCGCATGCTACAGTTCCCTGCCAGCCCGAATCAAAGGTAACAGCACACCTGTGTACACACAGGCATGTATTGTGTTTGTGCATTTTAAAACAGAGAGAAACAAGGAGATTGTTTAGTTGTTAAAAGTTGGAGTGCGCTCTTTACGCACGTAGAACATTTTGAAGCGTTTAAAACCAAATATAACTTTTATTTATGCCTTTTAAATTTAAAGTGTGGCTTTGTTGTTGTCTGTATTTGCGAGGCTAATAATCTGTGGAGGCTGCAGGTCTTGCATAAGAACTTTAAGCCGCTTTAATTCTTGTAACTACTCTGACCTCAAAGTTAGAGGGCAGAGATTACAAGAAGGTGCGTGCTTTTCTGTGGCATGTGTAGTGAAATGCACGCAAAATAGGAAGGGAAAGATTTGTGAACTGCAGCGAGGAAATGAAAACCAGGTTGAGACTCTTACTGACTTCCCTTGATGCAGGTAGAGGCAGGCGAGTTCAGAGAGATGCTTTGGTGTTTTTGTTTGGTTTCAGTTGAGTTTTAAAGGAAGGTTTCGGAATATTTTGCACATGCAGTGAATGTGGGAGGTGCAGCATCCAAGCAGAGGAGTTATAAGCATCTACCTTTGCATCATTCCTCTTGCAAAAACCAGTGGGACCATCACAAAGGCTCACATTCCTCCCCTTTTCTGTGCAATATACAATATATTCTTTGCTAGACTATTACCTGGCACCAGATTGGCTGCAGAGGTAATCTGAGTAGATATAATGTTACTGTATAATGTTGCATTTTGGGTTTATCTTGCCATCATTATCTCAGATCATATCAATCTTTAATCTGTGGACAGATACAGGAAAGAAATGTTTTCTGCTCCAGGATTTTTTTTTTGTCTTGGCCACTTTTTTATTGACTAAAAATATGGGCAAAATACAGGTTAAATCACATTAAATAAGCACAAAACAAGGTTTAAAACCAGATTTTGGTCCTCTTCACAGAGCCACCTCAAGATAAGGAAGTAAAGTATGACCCAGCTCAAGGCATTTATCATGTCAGTAGATGTTTTGCTTTGGTTGTGCGTACTCCCAAACACATTTTCAGTTGAATAAATTCAAGCAAGTAAACGCAGTACACCTGAAGCTCTCGGGGGCCCCTGGAGGTTTTGGGCCCCTGAGCAGTTGCCTGCTTTTCAATCTTGTCTTTTTCTGTTGCTGATTGATTCTCCCTTTACTGACTTGACCTCAATCTCCTGCATCCCGTTTTAACATGTTACAAAATGAGCTTCAAGAACCAAGAATTGCAGCAGCAATCACAGCCACTAAAGAAAAAAACACATTAAGGCTGACTGTTGTTGGTCATCGCCACAGGGAACGAGCCCCTGGCAGGATGGGTCTCTTGTTGTTTCTATTTGACTACAGACAACACAATGGATGGTGGGCGTCGAGGTGCTGCGTGAATTTATGAGCCAATCAGCTAGCACATGTTTGCTGTGTCTCGCTAGGGGCCGGGTCATAATTCACACAAATGGCCGTCCAGACAAAACAGAACTGGGAGGAAACAATCCTCCGAGCTGCGTCAGCCGCGGAGCTCTGTGTTTGCCAAGCCCCTGCTGGCAGCCGGGGACCAGAAGAATGAAGAGGAGAGAAGAGGGGGAAAGATTAAATGTGTGTTACAACCAGGGTCTCTTTTAGAGAAGTCTGCTCGAGATTATCTCTAGAGCTTCACTTGTCTCTTTCTGCCACTCTCAATCTTCTCACTTCTCCTTTTTGCGCTATTCGTTTCATAACAATTTCCACCTTTTGCTTTCCATCTTCTGCTTCCATGTCTTTCCCTATTCACAGTTCCTCTTACCGCCTCTGTGTGTCTGCAATCGTTTCTCATCCCCTCATCAGCTCTTCCTCCTTCATCTCTCACTCTCCATTCCCTCTCTGTCTCCACTGTCCCTCGGCTCTCAGTATTTATTACAGTGCTAAGTGGGCCCACCAGCTTTCGAGAGTGCTTCTAATAGAGGCTGTGACAGACAATGAATAGTTATTCCACCTCCTCCACCTACGGGCAAGGTGATGGCTCCAAAAATATTATTTTCTAATCACTTGGAGCACACGCCATTCAAGTGTGTCGCGCTTAGTGAGGTACAGCCACGGGTAAGTGGATGACGTGGAAAGTTATGCGTTTGGAAAGACAAAGCAATGGTTAAAGGAATTATTAAAGATTTTGGGAGTGTAAGTATATTATTATACGCTTTCTTGCCGAGTTAAATGAGAAGATCAATAGCATTCATGTCTAGACGTTTAATATTAGGTTACAGCCAGCAGCCCGTTAGCTTAGCCTAGAATAAGTACTGGAAATAAGAGGGAAACAACTAGTGTGGCTCTGTCCAAAGGAAAACAAAATACACCCACGGCGACCTCCAAAGCTCAGTAATTATCACATTGTATCACATTTACTTAATCCATACAAAAACCTGAGCGTTAAAACAACATTTTCTTTGGGGGTTATGTGCCAGACTATTTTCTTGGCAGGGAGCAGTTGCCAGGCAACCAGCAGTGACTCCAGGAAAGTTACGGGTCTTGGCCAAGAAATAGTCCGGCACATAACCCCCAAGAAATGGCTAAGTGTCATTGGCTAGCTGTTTTCCCATGCTTCCAGTCTTTAGGTTACACGCTAACCAGCTGTAGCTTCATATGTGGCTTACTAACATGAGAGTGGCGTTGTGCATATTTCCCAAAATGTTGAACTATTCCTTTTTAAAGTCTAAATTGTTTATTAGTGGAGGAAATGAGCGTCAGAATCAGCTGCTTCATAAAGTTTAATATTCACAAAAGACAGTGGGTGTAAATGCTGATAATGCAAGGTGGTGCTGCGCCCGTGTCCGCAGGGCCTTCACACGGCTCATCGCTTTCTCAGCCAACACAAAGACGTTTTTATGAGGTAAAATAATGACGACGGTTTCTCGCCGACTTTGCCCTTCACACTTACTTTCTCAGAGATCTTCTCCTTCTGCTGTTCTTCCCAGTGATTTCCTTATCAGCCATTTTTTCCCTCCCCTCTTCATTAAATACATTTCTTGGTCTCCTCTTAGTATGTATTTCCTTTCTCTTTCTATTGACTGTGGACCCTTGAAATGAAACCCAAACATGTCTTTTTTTTCCACCTGCACTACACCTCTCTTCATATTTCTCGAGTTATGTCTCTCTTCTTACATTCCTCCCTCCTTTCCTACATTGACTTATTTCTCCATAGCTCTGAGTGGCTGGCTGGTGATGGTTGCCTGAGTGCCTGAGAGGATATGGATGATTTAAGAATAGGATAGCCAGCCAGAGATCCTGCCAGGAATGAGAGAAACAGTGAGAAATAGGAGATGAGTGAAGTACAAGTATCAGGAGAAAAGCGGGAAGAGAAGACAAGAAACAGCAGTGAGCAGATGTGTCTCTTCATTAGTATTTGCATTATAAGACTATGTGGTGGCCAGTTCAGTCAGAAAAACTAAACTACTATATATTCTTTATTGATTAAGACTTCTCCATTTCACACCTTTCTTATCTTCTTTCAGAAAAATTTCAGAAATGTGCAAATATGAAAACAGTCAAATTCCAACAAATGCGTAGCTGTAAATTGAAAAACGATTTGTTTTGACAGTGGTGACATTTAATTTCCCCTTCTGAATTCCTCCGTCAGTAGGTAATTAAACCTTTTTAATGAGCAAATACACCTTTTCTTCTGTGTATCAGCCTCAGTCTCTGTGCCATTCACATGTGTAGATGACATTTCTGAACAAAGCATATTCTGCCTTGTTGTGTTTGTTTCTTTGGTATCGCAGTTAGAAGGAGGATACATCACTCCCCCGCCTAACTTCTGACAGATGATGATATGTTTGTGTTTCTCCTGCCAGAATGATTGACTCGTACTGCTGACCTTTGGTTACAAACTATAGGTCTGCCCAGAGAACACAGATACACAGTGAGAGAGACGGGAAGAGACGGATATTCAGGCAGAAAACACACTAAGAATAGGACATCAGCACCGTCTTATCCATTAATGCGTGCAAACCAACATGTTCGTACTTGACAGTGTCACTGTGATGCTTGTGTATCCAATGTTGACCCAGCACTGTTGTGATTAGTGATGAAGTCATTGAATTACTGTCCTTGATTGAGTTCTAAAATGCTGCTGATCCAGCAGAGTCCCATGTGCGGTGTCAGGGTTAGAGCGGAGTCACTTGGGAATAAATACTGACTTTATTTAGTCCTTTTGTTTAGTACTGACCTTAGGCTGCTGCTTCAGTGAGTTAACTTCTGAGGTTATTCTGTCTCTAAAAGGCAAAGCTGTTGATGTAATGGAAAAAAAAAAAGTTTTATAATGGATAGTTCTGATCTTCAGCTTTGAATGGCAGACTCACCTTGAAAAACCTGATAAAAAAAAAAAGTCCACTTTTGACTGTAAGACTGATGGGACACTCATTCATATAGAGCTTGGGTTGCTTAGCAACTATGATGTAACTTTATTATAAATTCTTAAAGAGCATAGTGCTAGTAAGTTACTGGCACTGAAATAACATTTTAATTATTAAAGTTAAAATAAAATAAAAAACGGAGACTTTTAAAACTTGCAGTTTATCAGCTGAATAATTAATCCGCTGCATAGAAGGATTTCCACTTTTACATTTATCCCACATTTATCTGAAAGATTGCTGAAAGTACCTAAAAGTCAATAAAGAAGGTTATGCTGTGAATAAATATAATGATATTGTCCTGTCCCCTGCACATCTCATTGTCTCTCTCACAAAGACTTATGAAGGTGTTCAGTTCAGTGTGGGACTATGTAGCAAAAACCTACAGGGAAACAAATTGACTTACAGTTAGAGCCTGACTGAGTTTTTTGAGACCAATTATATGGGGGTAATAATTTAGTGATTACTGATACGGTGGTCTATATAGTGTATTTTAGAGCTAGAATGAAAGTAGACCTTTTCTATGTGCATTTTGCACCAATATTGAAAGGTACTAGAAGGCTGCTTTCTTAAACAAATAACTTTTATTACAGAATATTTAAGT